GGCAAATATTCTCATCAATCTCACAAAATTGTATCAATTTGTCATCTATTTTATTGAATAAAAAAGATGCAATTTATTCTTAGTTCTCTAACAATATTTTTATTATTGATTGAATCTATTAATTCAATTAGTTTTCATCTACCACTTAGTACAAGAAAATGTTTAAAAGAAGAAATTCATAAAGTAAATTTTGGTTTTTGTTTCTGAATAATTTCACATTTTCATCTATTTTATTTAGGATACAATGGTTACTGGTGAATATGATATAACAGTTCTTCCAAATTTACTAACACATCTTGATGTAAAAGATACTAAAGGACATACACTTTACAATAAAGAAGATGCTACGAAAGGAAAATTTGCATTTACAACAGAAGAATTTGATATATTTGAAATATGTTTTGAAACTAAAATACCACATGGTCAGCAACAATATCATTTATCAGCAGAACATACAACAAAAGAAGTAACAATTCATATAAAACATGGTGTTGAAACAAAAGATTATGATGCATTAGCTAAAGCAAATAAACTTAAACCATTAGAAGTTGAATTAAATCGTTTAGAAGATTTATCGGCTGCAATTGTATCTGATTTTGCTTATATGAAACAACGTGAAGAAGAAATGCGTGATACAAATGAATCAACAAATACTAAAGTTCTTTATTTTTCCATTTTTTCAATGTGTTGTTTAATGAGTTTAGCTATTTGGCAAGTACTTTATTTACGACGATATTTTAAAGCCAAAAAACTTATTGATTAATATTTTTTAGTTAAAATGAACTATTGATATTGTTTTTTTTCTTTTCTTTTCTTTTCGTTTGTTTGTTTGACTTACTTTTATGCATTCTAATTAACAAAAAAAAAAGAACCTATTATTTCACATTAAGGTTTTGTTTTTATTTTTGATTAATGTCGTTTTTCTGTTTTTTTGTTTTTGTTGTATTGTAGAATAAGTTTTCTTATAATATTTCCACTTTGTTGTTTATTGGTTTGGGATAAGGATCATTTAACTTAAGATAATCAAAAATTTAAAAAAAAATGTTTATTATTTTTGTAAAACTTGATAAATCAAAGGATTTTGCATATTAATCGCACGGATACACAAAAGTGTTTTGATGAAAGAAAAACTCAATTGAATTGCCATAGCTCTTATAAATCGACTTCACTTATTGAAATCTGAAGTATGGTAGTTCATTAACAACGGAAAGATGCATTGAACGGTATTAATAAAAAGTCATAGATTGTACTAGAAAACTTCGTTATTGCAGATAATTTGAGGCAGAAATAATGTGGAGATTGGACTGGATTGATCGATGTCGGTTTCATTTATACTTCATAGGTTGGAACAAAGGAAGTGAAACAATTAAAGAATTATAAATAGCGATTAAAATTACTGACAAAATATCGAAGTGTTTGTTTAACATAATTTTCGATATGATTATATTATTATGGTTTTTTTAAGGGTGGATGTAGGTGTTTCTGGAGCGAGATTCAGCTGGTATACCCACCCCTGAATTCGAATTTCAGCTTTTTCTAATGTGAAATTCAATTTCACATCTTAAGCATGTTTGATTCATGAAGCATATTCGCCGCGTGTTATGAAGCGGAGATATTGTGTAGTGAGCATGGATGTCGAGAACTGTGAATCAATCATAGCTGAGTTTTTTTTTCAATTGTTTTCAAGTATAGCTATATCCATGTCCCCTGTTCCTAAAATGGTGTTTCGTATATTTTTTTTCTAATTGTACAAAGCAGGAACAATAGAGTTCTATAGCTTACTGTAGTAATTCGTTCTGTTTTGGTAGCTTCTGATCAATTTCATTTGGTTAGTCTCTTTATCAAGCACAAAACCGGTTGCTGCAGGTCTAACACGCGCATTCTCAGTCGTTTCTTCGTAACTGTTTACTGTTGGAGGATACAATACCTAAAAGTGTTATGTGATGAATGTTTACAGTCGTCGTATTTTTACACTAGTCGTTCACGGTGGTTTTCTCACCGTCACTGGCTACGATGGTCGTCACAGGCTGTGAAGCAGCGTTGGTAATTACTGTAGAAAGCACCGCACATGACTGTCGTTTTCCGTCGGAATCGCTTTATATACAGCTATGTACGGACGAGCATATTTCACCCAGAAACAACGCTAAAGAAACTCGTTTGATTGGTATTTTAGGTGATAAATCAACTTGAGACATATATTTCTAATAACAAAAGGATGCATTAAACCCAAGAATAGTGTTTAGAGTAGTTGAAAGAAGAAGTTGATGATATTTGAGTGATGTTCATACTCTAATCGAAGAATCATTTTTTAAAGTCAATGTCATTGTCGAGCGTTTAGAGTGACAGTAATCAAAGATGGACAGCTCTTATTTTCGAGCGGGTGCTCTAAGTTGTGATAGTAAATGATCTCGTGCAGTCAAGTGTTTGTTAAAATCACGGCGCCGCAACTATCACGACTCTATAGTTTGATTTTTTGTCGATGTTCTATTTTTTTGTGCGTTTTTTTTGTAAATGAAAATAAGTCACTAAGGTTGTAAGAAGTTCATAAACTAATCGCTGAAGTGGATTCGTCTTGGTAATATGTATAATCAGTTGTATTCGCCTAGTACCTGCTTACCGTTTGAAGAAACGTGTTTCTAAGAACGAAACTCATATAGTCTTATCCTCTGGTGTGTCGTTCAGAACAAGCTCAACACATGACTTCTTTTTAAATAGCATTGACTTTTATTGTACTGATTATCCATTTCAATATAAAAGAGCCGTTCAGTGGACATTAAAGAGTTTCCGAAAGTTTGTAGCCAGCATTAAACAGTTTTTTTTTCTAGTCAAAAGCCTAGATAGAAACAAATAGATTTCTGCTTAAAACTTTATTTCTAAGATTTTTGAAAAGATTTTTTCTGAAATAACTTGGTTTCTCAATGTGTTTCATGCTTCATTTTCTTTGCTCTCCTGCAGTCAGAAAATGTTGTAGTATCAGTTCCAGATTTGGATCTAAATATGACGATCAATCACCATTACAGTTTGTATAAAAAAAAGAGATAGAGTAAAAGAGATGTAAAAGGTATCTCTTGTCACTCAGACATTTATTTTAGATATTTAATGCAACAATTTTCTTGAGAATTATAGAGAATGGGATGCTGTCCATCGAGACAAAGGGTGGCTCAAGCTATAGTACATGATCCTGTGAGTATGCCTCCTGTGGTAGAACGAAAAGTGGAGGTCTTGTTGATGAGCGCAAATAAAAATGAGGAAAATGCCAAGCAGTGTTTGGAGGAGCTGAGGAAAACCTGTGGTCAAAATCATGTCGTCAAGTATACCACTTTAAATGAGGCTTCCTCTCACATTGAACACCTCGACGAAACAACAATTGTTATACTAATCGCTATGGAAAACTCACACAAAAGATTGATAGCCGATATAAGTAGCATGAATGCATATTCCGATGTTGGAAACATCTTTATCTATTCGAGTGAGAATAAGGAAACATCTATAGAGACAACAGTTCAACACATATTTGGAAAATGCCATCTCCACGCCGCTGTTCGAGATACACTTGAAGCGATCCATTCGTCTCCAGTTCATGAATGTTCTTCTTATCAGGTATCATTCGTCATTCACCAAAGTTCAATTAATGCATTTTTGTATGCTATCAAGTCGGTTCAACTTGACGTGCCATTTAGATGTTGGACTCTGAGATTTAAGATTTCACAAATGAACGTCATGTTATCGCCACCACTCTTTCAATTTATTGCTCAAGTGGAGCTAACAAATGCACCCTTGATATTGTCAAAATTTACTCATAAAAAGGTTTATGGCGACGCTAAACTCAAACTGAAAGAAAAACGATTCTGTATAACCATCACTCACTTCATCGTTAAACTCAGAGTCAACTGTTGGAAAATAGACATTGCCAACTCTATATAGGAGATTTTTCTCTAGACAATTATATTAACCTCTGACACATGTTTGAGTTACCCCAGTGCTGTGAAAATAAATTCCTTATAGTAAAGCCAAGAAATCCGAAGACTGTTATCGAAAACAACCTTGTCAAGGTATTCCTTGAAATTCAATATATTCCAACGACTAAAGCGGATAAATAAAACAGCTGACATGCACAACTCACCGACGCAATATTGGCATAATTTTAGCATGTGACATGACTTCAAAAATAATTTTTTTTGTTTGTTCTCGAATATGATATTTTCGATGAGGCTATTGAAATTTACACCCGGACCGTGTAGGAAGTAGATATCCGATTCAAATTCGAATATAAATAAAAAAATTAAAAAAACAGCTTCTGTCTTGGAATAGCAAAAAAAGCAAAAGCAAAATTTTATAAAAATTATAAATTTGAAGATACAGGGTATGAGTGTGTGCAACATGAAGAGCCTAACATCCACATCCACACCCTGAACAGAGACTTTTCACGGCAATTAGCTTCATGCAGCAAACTATAAGAACACAAAATACTTTGATATTTCCAATCAAGTTCTCAATCGTCCGACAGCCTTACAAAAAAATCGGAGAAAACCGATCGCTGCCACTACAGTCTTATAGTTCTCTTTATCAAACTAGCGTTTGACGGCAAGATTATGGGTAATTATAAAGATAAGATTATTGATTGTTTATTTGTTTGTTTGAGATAATTAATATAATTCTGAGCTAATCACAAGAATGCTGGACAGGTCAGCAGCAACTAGCAAATTTTCATTTGGTAGTATGGATGCTGTGTGGGCACATCGTGCATTATTCAAACTACCAGTCACTGTCAAAGTTCTTGTTAATGGATCATACAATTAAGTGCTTTTTAAAAAATTACCATTGAGTCCTCCAGTAACTAACAATTTCCCATTTGCTAATACGGATGCACCGTGGTGAGATTGCGCTCATTCATACTACCAGTTGTTGTTCAAGTTCCTGTTGATGAATCATACAACTCATCAGTATTTAGATAAGAACTACCATTATGCCAACCAGAGATTAACACTTTTCAATTTGTTTTATACAGATGCTGTATCGCAATATTGTACGCTAATCATGCTACGAGTCATTGGCCAACTTTCTGGTGATGGATCATACAATTCAGCACTATTAATAACAGAACTACCGGTATTTCCACCAGTAAGTAATACTTTTCCATTTATTAATACGGATGCTGCGTTGTAATATCGTGTAGTATTTATACTACCAGTGATACGCCGTTCTGAAAGAACCATTTGAATATATTCAGGCTGAAAAGCTGAATCACACGGAACATAAGACTATTTCGTGTATAGCTGAAGTTTTGTGAAATATTGTTAAATGAAGATTATTTCTTACGATGTTTCGGAAAACTTTTAATGCTCTATAGACTATAATAAGATGTAAATTTTGTTTGACGAAATTCTTTATCTTACTGGACCTCTTATATGGATGATCGATAGAGATTTGTGTTTTCAATTAGTCACTGTAATAATCATATGGATTAGTCTGTATTTTGATTGTGCACAAACGCCGAGAGTAATTATCAAAGACTATGAAACGAATAAAAAACTAGAAACTTCTTTAGGATTCCCTCGCAGCTCTTTGATTTCGAAACCCACAAAAGTACACTAACAATATGTATATTCCACTCGCATCAAGATCAGTAGAGGCCTAGCAACATGAATGCATAATTGCGAATAGCATATTAGAAAAGGCATTAGTCGACTTATTACAAATCATAGAACTTTAGAAAAATTATGGTTATTCTTCGGTGTTCCAACAAATTATCATAGCTACTTGAATAATTATTCAACAATATTGGAATTGCTGTATTTTTGAGTTCTTAAACACTGTTAACAGCAATATTTCTACTTGACTCCCCCCCCCCCACACCCGCTCCGCTCTTTCAAAAATGTCAATTTTTGTCAGAATGCATTATATAAAAAACTCATTTAAAGTTTTTAAATAATATTTTGCTTTAGATGAATCCATTTTTAATTGAATATTGATTCAGATTCAAAATCAAGCCGTTTTTTTAATGAGATGATCATGAAATTACTGAATAAATGTATTCTTCTGTATAGCATCAGGCAACAAATATTTATATGGGAATTTGAGCCGTCTACTTGAATAAAATTTTGAGTTTCAGTTAATACTGGTTTGAATGTTACAGAGTAAACTCATATTATTAGTTTCACATATTCCTTCAATACTTTCATATTTTGATAAATTTATAAGATTGTTTTATTGCTACCTATATTCATTCTCTTTTAGAATATGTCGTTAGATCTTTAATGTTTTTCTTCCTTCTCCGAGAATTATCGAAATTCTAACTTTTCTCTTGTTCTTTGTTTCGTACAGAACAATACAATCAACAGAATATATATCTATCTATAATTCTCTTTGTTGGCTAATGTATAAACAATTTAGCTGCTCAGACATTGACACAAAAAGCTTAACAAAAGTCACCTTAGTTATAATATCCTATGATATATCGAAAAAGTAACATGTGTCTTTCCACAAGAATAGATTATTAGTTTCTCAAACATTCAAAATAAAATATACAAATAAAAACAAATGTAAAAGGACATTGATGAGGAATTAAAAACAAATAATCATTGTTCATTGGAAAAACATTCATTGTACTAGAAAAATAATTGTGAAGTGTGAGTAGGTGTATGCCTTCCCATCCGTTATTGTTATATTCACACCCACACTTAATCAGAACACTCAAAATCAGTGAAGTTGAGTATCCAACAGAAAATATTGTCGAATCGACATCATCCACTTCTTTAGGTTAGGACATCGAAAAAAAAGATGATTACAAAAGAAACCAAGCTTGTTTAATTTTGACAAATGAATATGTATGTATTTGAATTAAAGAAAAACACAATAATAATAATAAAAAAGAAACTTTCCTTCGATTTAAGTTAAAAAAATTAATCTTGCAAACATTATATCATTAAATCTATATTTAAATTTAATTAAGAAATAGCTTTATTAATTTAATCGGATATTTATTTTTCATCATTTTCAATATAACACAGATAGCATGTTGAAAGTATTGTCTTTACATAAAAAATTAATATGCTGAATATTTTATTTTAAATTATAAATAAAGATATGAAAGAACCCGTAAATTTGCTTTTATTTCTTCCATGTTTGGCTTTGTTTGTAAAGAATTACGAGATACCTGTAAAATAATTACACTAGGCATAACCAGTTGAGGAAGTTGCTGAATTGAATTTTATAACAAAATGAAGGTGTAATAAATTTTCCAGATTATTAATTTCAGTCAGAGTAGTACTGATAATATTGTAATTTAAATTCAATGTCTCCAATGAATTCAAGTGCATAATAAATGGGAGAAGCACTATCAGGCTTGAATAACAGAGATCTAAAATTCGTAGCGAATCATCAAATGCAGAAGTTTCGTTGTAATCAAGAATTGATAATGTATGAAAGAACCATTTAAAATGTATAAATGACTCAATTTAAATATGCTAGTAGGCAAATGTTTTAATGTGCTGTTGGCGATATCAAGACTTTCTACGGTATGCAATCGTTCAAAAATTTCATTTAAATCATCCATTCATAAGGCAGTCAAATTACAGTATGATATATTTAATGATATCAAATTCGACAATGTTTTGAACATGTTCCTATTAAGTTTAATTGGATCACATGTTGTTGCTTCCAAAGACAAATTTGTTAGACTAGTTACAAGGCCAATATGATTCAAAACATTCTGAACTGATGAATAATAGTAAACCAAAATAAAATCTGTTACTTTCCGAATAAAAAGCTCAGGTAGATAAGAATTTACACTAGTCGGAGGATTATCAGATTGATTTGAATAGACCAAGTTTTTCAAATTTAAAATACTAGGTGATATTTTAACGACGGGATTCCTTTTAAGTCCCAATGCAATTAAACGTGAAAATTTGAATATCCATTCAGATATATGCAGCGAAAAATCGGTAGTAAGCATACTGTAAAACGTCAATTAATTTAGTCAAATAAAAGTTAACTTTTGACTTGTTAAAATCATTTGGCCGACCAGCAGTTGTAAATCAGTTAAAGTATTCAAAAGGAAGACTTAAAATGGGTTTTGATAAAATTTTCTTGATTCGAAATAACGATAGTTGAAAGTTTCTACACCAGCACATAACAAATCCTCTATTTAATTCGGATTTTGTTTTCATTCCTCAATTGTTATACTTTCAACTTTATTTTCAATTGCAGCAAAAACGGAGTGAAGCAAATTAAAGTAAACTTCGATGAACTGAAAATTACCTAATTCATTCGTCATTTCCAACTCATCCAATACAATTAAAAATGCGTTCATTTCTCAACGTAGTGAGACATCTTTCTGTTCTCATACGAGTGTAGTTGAATTTTGGTTTACCAATCATCATTCGCCGCGAAGAGAAAAGCGAAACGCGCTATTGCCATTTTTAACTTTTTGATGAGTAACGACTGGGAAAAAGTTTCTTAGTCGAAGGTAACGCATTCAGCGTCAGTCATTTAATATTATGCATTATTTCGTGAGACATTACTCAGCCTTTTGACGATGACGTCCATACATATGCGACTTGAAACTTTTTGTAGAAACGAAAGTCTTTGGAATGATTAGTCCCGATTCTTCGAGTGTTTTATTTCTTTTTCTATCCCAAAATGTCTGTTTCTACCTAGAAAGTAATTAAAAGTATGACAATTATGTCAGTTAGTACTATTTAAATGACAGTTAATTCTCAAACTTCATCTTGATTTCTTCCATAAAAAAGTCTATCTTCAAACAGTTAGGATAAAAAGTATGTGTTGGAATATTTCATTTTTACTTCAGAAAGGTTCTATTTTTTCGAAAGATGGATATTTTTGACGAACTTGATGTGGGTAAGTCTACTTTTTCAGCTAGTGTTTCAATAATGAACTTCCTCATTTTTCTCATTGCAAACTGTAGAGTCTACCGGTTCACACAGTACACTTTCATTTAGTTTCGATAGTGACGATTTATTGTTAAATACGGTAAACGACTTTTATAGCTCATACGACAATCTCAATTTTACCAATGGTGAATATAAGCATTGCAAGTAGCCCTGGATAACAGTAGTCAACTTTTTTATATCAGGCATTGACCAATTGGATGATTCAATGCTTCAGACGGCAAATCAGTTCTCGTCTTCAAGAGATTTGCAATCGTCAACTGAGTTAAATACATCGCCACAAAATCCAAATTTAGATGATCGGTTTTCAGGCGTGATCGATTCCAGTAATCTGCATAATTACTTATGACTCGATAACTTTACGATTCAATATTTAGACAACCATTTGCACTCATCTTTTCCGTTGTTGTCGGATAATGCAATCGACATAATCAATATCCCACTTCAGCAACTAGGTTTTTGCCGTGATTCATTTCTGTACCTTAGAAAGACTTTGAATCGTTTCTGTTCTAGAAAATGCTCAGCATAGCGATCAGGCCATCTTGAACGGTGAAGAACTACAGCCGAATGCTATTCAACATCCCATTACCAATGAAACTCAAAATGAGGTTTGTTTACTCTAGTTAAGTTATAAAAAACTCTTTCGCGGGTGTGGCTGTCAGTGTATGAGCCAGAGTTTGGATGTGAGTTTGAGTGTGGGTGCGTATGTAGGTGTGTGGATGAGCGTGTCGAGGTGGGTGTGGGTGAGGGTTTCGTTGTGGGGGTGTGGGTGACAGCAGTGTCACATATCCTGCAATTTGGAGAAGTGCTCACATCGCTGCCGGGAGATGCTGCATTTTCAGCGGGAGATGCAGCACCCAATGTTAGAGATGTACATCTCTCAATGAGATGATACATCTCCAACAGCAAATCACCGCATCTCCCGAGTGTGGGTACCGCGTCTCCCACGGGAGATGCCGCATCTCCTCTGGGAGAAGTGAGCACTTCTCCAAAATCTTGGATATGTGACACCACTCGGGTGTGGGTTATAATGTTTGTTGATGAGAGTTTGGATATGGATGTGCGTATAGGTGTGCATGTGAGTTTGGATGTGGGTGTGTGTGAGGGTTTGGTTGTGAGTTTGAGTGTGGGTGTGGGTTATAATGTTTGTTGATGAGAGTTTGGATATCGATGTGTGTATAGGTGTGGGTGTGAGTGTGGGTGTGGGTTTCGTTGTGAGTTTGAGTGTACGTGTGGATGTGGATATGAGTTAGGGTTAGAGTTTCGATATGGGCGTACGTGTGAGGGTTTGGTTGTGAGTTTGAGTG